TCAAAGATCGGTCATACTTTTATTCGTAAATCTTTGTATATGCCAGCGATTGTGACACTTTACAAAACCGCATGGGGCAAACAATTTCGAGAACGACTCAAAAGTTATGGTAAACCCAATATGCTGATTATTGGCGCAATGATGCGCAAACTGTTGGTGGTCTGCTTTGGTGTTTTAAAGTCAAAACAGCCCTTTGACGCAAAACGACATGGCGTGGCAAATAATCTTTTGACTTGATTAAAATCAATGTGATAGCTCCGTAGGTACGATTAGTCTGTATTCAGGCGTAATCGTACGAATGTTTATTTACCGAAGCCTCCCACATGCGTACGATTACGCCCGTGTACAGGCTAATCGTACCTACGCGGGCTGACCCCATATATTGTAAAGTCATTGCGCCGTACCGCAGTGTCCCTTGTTTTATGCGAACAGGTAAATCATAATTTTAAGCTTCAATCACAATTGGCTCCATCTATTTTGAGTATTGCGAACCCTTCAGGAAAAATAGTCCTCTCATCAAATAGAACGCCTTCAAAATCTGCATCTTCTATCCGCAAACAGGTCATATCTGCACCTCGAATGTCTGCGCCTCTAAAGCTCGCATACCCTATGTCTGCGCCACAGAGATTCGCATCAGACAAATTTGCATTTGAAAAATCTACCGAAATCAATTTGGCATCGGTAAAATCTGCCTTTTCTAGATTGGCTTTACTCAGTACAGCGGTCATCATTCTAGCGCGCTCGAACTTGGTTCGCTTTAGAACTGCACAAGTGAAAAGTGCGCCTCGAAGGTCTGCATCAGAAAGATCTGCATTAGTAAGATCTTCACCTTCTAATAATGCTCTGTGGAGATTCATTCCATTCAATTTAGCTCCACGAAGAGTAGTCGCAGAAATCTTAACAACATCCCCAGTTTGACACACAATTGAAATCATCTGTTACCCCAGTCAATAGGATCAATTTTTAAATTTTGCACTGGCTGAACTTTTCTAACTTGAGATGGTGAAATCGATCCGACAGTTTGTGCTGGTTGTTTACCGACGAGTCTACCCGCAACATAACGATGGTTTCCGTCAACGATTACATTGCCATCAACCTTGATCGCTGGAGAAATCTCACCAGCCTGAAGGCGACGAACATAGTTTTCAACTACAGGCTTTGATATTGCTGACTGAGTGGTCTTCAAGTCAGAGTTCTTTAAAGCTGCATGGATCGCCTCATCAGTAATGCCTACAGCCTTAACACTCCCCCGAACCGCCAGTCCACCCCCAGTCGCAAACGGAACCAAAGCCCCAGCCACATCCGCACCCAATGCCGCCAAGTTCGTATTAAAGTTATCACAATTCCCAAACACATTATCTTTTAAGATACGGTAGAGGTCATAACCAATAAAACCAACATCAAGCGCCGTGTCGACGATGTTTCCTGTTGCATCCGTAAAATTGACCGGATTCCCCCCCACATAAGCATAAGGATTCAACCCACCCGCAATCCCAATCGGATCAGGTGTTAAATACCGCCCCGTTCTTGGGTTGTAATACCTGTGGTAATTGTAATAGTTCCCTGACTCACTGTCAAAATATTGCCCAGGTAAACGTGCGTTCCACCACAGTTTGATATTATCCTTATCAGGATCATCATTGATTCCATCACTTGAACCAAAGGCATCCGCACCATCCCAACGCCATGCAATAGCCTTATTGGTTTTGGTGATCAGTTTGCCAACCCCTTGATAATTTGCATGAATAAAATGCAGCTGATTACGCTGGGTGGTCGCTATTGGAATACCTGAAAAATACACCGTCTCTTGTACCGCTTTACCTGTTTGGCTATATTCTCCCAACAAGTTACCGCTCTCGTCATAGACAAACTGCAGATGCGTCAGTGCCTCAGTTGGTGTTGTCCAACTTGTCCCTGATTTGACATAGAATAACGGGGTCAGGGTTGTTTAAATGTGGTATGATTGGTTTTTTCAGCTGCCACAAGTACAAGATCTCAAAATTAACTTACACTGACCCCATTAATTCAAAAACAATAAATTACCACAAATGATTGAAGAAACGGGCGCGAATGAAAGTAGTTGATGAGGTAAAGGTGTTGTAAAAATGTGGCGGCAAGCCGCCAGGGTTTTGTTCGGCCTATTGACATAGAAACGCTAATGGGTGACCCCTTTGGTTTGCGGGACAGGACACCTTTATTCTAGCTCTACTTTTTCACATAAAACAGCAAATTCGGCACCTGCTGAAGGCTCAAAAATCAACAATTCCAAATTTCCTTCAATGCAATTTTGTAACGTATTCGCAAATTGACTTTCGTTTAGCCAAGTCCGTGAATCTGAAAAACTAGTAACCCATCCTAACCAGTACTTCAAATCATCCAAAATTAATTTGCCATGAGATGATTGAATAACACGACTAATAACGTTCTGCATACCTAAATCCACACAACGAAAAGCTCTAACTCCAAAAAAATTTACACAAACTATGTCATTGCTTTCTCTTCTAAATATCATTTTTAATGATGATTCTCCCCCATTAACTTCAGTTAAAAGCAATTCTGCATCGTGTAAAAACAGCTTTTGATACATACTTAGTTACCTTTTTGGGAGTGGTGAAATTGGTACTCCGGGTTGCCTTTTTCCGTTTTCCCAGTTGTGCCCGTGGGGCTGCATCCCATCATGAGGATGATCATAATCAATATCCCATTGCGGCTTACCATCAGGTCCGTAATGTCTTTCCTGCCCACTTCCTGGATTTGTGTGTGTAGAATTGGGTTCACCTGTATTGGGTGTTTTCGATGGCTTTTCTCCACCACTTGTAAAAACCGAATCCCAAAAATTATTAACCGATTGCCTAGTTCGAATCCAAGGTAACACCACATGATTGATAATGGGGGTAATAATCGGTTCATAATCAATATCAATATCTGGTAAAGGTCTATCATGTGATTTTGGACCATCAATAGGATTATAGGGTGTCGTAATCGGAACCACCGGTGGCAGTACAGGCGGACAAAATTGTAATCCCGATGGATCCACAAACGCCACCGGATTCCCCCCCACATAAGCATAAGGATTCAACCCACCCGCAATCCCAATCGGATCAGGCGTTAAATACCGCCCCGTTCTTGGGTTGTAATACCTGTGGTAATTGTAATAGTTCCCTGACTCACTGTCAAAGTACTGACCTGGCAACCGTGCATTCCACCACAGTTTGATATTATCTTTATCGGGATCGTCTTGAATGCCATCGCTACTGCCAAAGGCATCCGCACCATCCCAACGCCATGCAATAGCCTTATTGGTTTTGGTGATCAGTTTACCAACCCCTTGATAATTTGCATGAATATAATGCAGTTGATTACGCTGGGTGGTCGCTATTGGAATGCCTGAAAAATAAACCGCCTCTTGCACCGCTTTACCTGTTTGGCTATATTCTCCAAGCAAGTTACCGCTTTCGTCATAGACAAACTGCAGATGCGTCAATGCCTCAGTTGGTGTTGTCCAACTCGTCCCTGATTTGACATAGGTCACAAAACTGCCACCTTGCTTTTTGCTAACCCTTTCATTTTTGTCGTTATACTCATACAAATTCACTTGCCCATTGACACCAGTCATTTGGTTAAGCATGTTGTAGGTATAGCTGTTTTTCTCGTCTTGGAGGACATTGGCAGCAGCCCTGCCATAGTTATCCGTGCCGTACTGGTAAGTTTTCTCGGTTGTTACACCATTGATGGTGGTTTTGACTTTGCTGATACGGTTATAACCGGCTTGATTAATCCAAGACCACTATAAATCAGCTCATCGGGCATGATTTCGTAGGTTGTGGTTTCAGCTTGTATCTACCATAGCCGTTTGAAAGCCTTTAAAACGGTGCAATGCGGTTTCACCTTATTGCACCCTACGCAGAAGGGCAGGCGGTTAGCATTCAGCGTAGGGCGTAATAAGCGAAGCGTATTGCTCCACAAAGTCAACATGTTAAGTTATTGCGACGTACCGCGGTAGGCTGGCGGAAAAAAATGGGGGGAGAAAATTAACACACTCTGGCCCAGTTATTTCCATATTTAAACAACTCTGGCCCAGTTATTTTTTGACCTTGTTATTCTTGGTTTAAAGATCACCTTTGCGATAGGGATGACATTTCAAGTAGTTAATTATCAATCAGATTCCTTACCGCAAGATTTGGATCTCATGGAAAATAAGGGATAATACTTATGATTATTACTACATTTGCAGTATGCAATCAAGTTCTTACAATTGGCACTTTGTTAAAATTTCTAGTCCATGGTAAGACATCAAAACAATTGTAATATAAAACCAACAAGTTGAAAGCATATTAACAAATTCAACTGCTTGAACTGGGACAATAAAATCAAATTCCTAAGTGTTAGTTTTGGCCATGTTCAATGATTCAATATTTTGAAAATTTTTTGGAGGAGAACAATGAAAAAATATCTAAACCTTTTGAACAACCTATTAATGTTGTTTTGCTTGTTGATGTTTGTTGGCTGTAGCGAAGATGAAACCGAATTAACCACTACCCAACCTGTTAATCAATCAATAGAAAAAGCGAGTATTAGGGGAGGGTCACCTGTTTTTCCAGATAACAATTCTTATCCTTGGTTTGCGGCTCTGATGAGAGACAAAGATGGCAAAGAAGTGGTAACTTGTGGCGGATCATTAATCGCCCCTCAATGGGTGTTAACAGCAGGGCACTGCATATATTTCCCACAAGTTACGAAGATCAATTTTGGATTCCGATATGTTCATGCCAAACCAGAGGAATATACAACCAGAACACCTGTGGCTAAGTTCTTGCATAAGAGGTATGATAAGGATGATTTTGAAATAGGCTATGATATTGGACTTTACAAGTTGGATAAACCCGTGACTGATATTAAGCCAATCCGTCTTGCCACCAAGGAAGAAATGATGTCTTTTCCAAATGGCAAGCTTATGTATATTATGGGTTTTGGTGTAACCGGTATCTTAGGCAAACAAACTGAAAGACTCAAGCACACTATCGCCCCTTACTTGGAACAGAGAAAGTGCAAATCTTTATTTCTCTGGGCTCAATTTAGATTTAACACCAAAATTTCTGATTCGATTCTTTGTGCTACATCTGGATCATTAACAGTAGCTCGTGGCGGTCCAGCTCCGGGCGATAGCGGCGGCCCTCTAGTCGCGCCAGATTTTAACAATAATTTGATTCAGTATGGCATTGTTAGTTATGGGCTCCCCAAAGCAAATGGTACCGCCTATACGCGGGTGACTTGCTTTCATGATTGGATAAGAACCATCATCCAGAGCGATGGTAAGGTTGTTCCTGAGGGGGAAAGAGATTGCCAACCATCAACAAAAGACCCTCTTACACCTCAAAGTACAGTTCAGAGTCCTATTGACCCTCTTACCCTTCAAAGTACAGCTCAGTCTCCTAGCACTAATCCTGTACCTCAAACAATGGGGAAAAATCCTAGTGAAGTTATCAGAGGGGTTTTTCAATAAAAAAGCTTGAATTTGACTAGGAAAATGCGGATTAATTCGATTTTGCGAGCAAAGCACAGGGAAGATTGTCAACATTAAACTTATATATCATATAGATATAAAATAAAAGTGACTTCCACCCGACAAAGAAATTTGCCGCAAAATAGAATTAATCCGATGTTTTTTAGATACTTGATGACCGAATACAAACAAACACCGGTGAATTTGCATGACCAACAAATTCGAATGTGAATGCCGTTAATTGGTCAATTTCAGGTAGGTTCCATTTTGTTTTGATTGATTTCAACGAAATAACGGGGTCAGAGCAGGTCATTTTTAGGCAATCGATGGGGTCAGACTCCATCGATTTCTTGAGAAAAGTATGATATAATACGTTTTAAATTGTATTTCAATAGCATGGCAAGATTACCCCGCTACAAAATCATCAATCAACCTCAACATGTCATTTTGCGGGGCAACAACCGTAACGTTATTTTTGTTGATACGGCGGATTATCAATTTTTCTGGAGTAACGGGGTCAGAATTAATTAAATGTGTTATATCGTTGTCCCATATAGAAAAACTTGAAATTAAACAACTCTGCCCCCGTTATTTTGTTGACATGGAAACGCTAATGGGTAACTCCTATTGTTTTTGCATGGATTGCATTCTTTTGAGAATCGCATAACATCCCAAAAACCGCCATATTTTATATCCTTGCACAAAGCCAAAGAAACATCTTCCACTTATTTTTTCCATGTTTGTGCCTCCGCTTGATCCAGTTGCAACATGTAGCTAACCAAATCGGCTTTCTCTGCCGCTGTTAAATTCATACCATTGCCATGGGCGGCAATATTAATCGTATCTTCTAATGTTTTAGCCGCGCCGTTATGTAAATAGGGTGCTGTTAACCACAAACCCAGTAACGTAGGCGTATCGATGGTTGCTAAATTGCCTGACCCAGCTTGGTTCGTACCAACAGCATGTTTTTTACCCATGGTACTATCGGTAAAAGTTGGCGCAATATGGCAGGTCAAACAATCCACCTTTTTGCTCACTAGCAACTGCTTACCTCTCAAAGCGGATTCGGTCAATTGTCCGTCTTCAGTTTTGTAGGGGCTCGCAGGAAGTTGCTTTAATGAACTAACATAAGCCGCTAGCGCGTCCAAATCTGCACTTTTCCCTTTTTTTGGTGCCCCTAATGGATCTTTGGTCAGAGCAAAATCAGCATCACTCATTAAACCTTTACCTCCAAAAAAGCCACGAATATCATTTTCAAAATCTTGAATTTCATCAAAATTTGCACTCCAGTGGACAAAACCATGCTCCATGCCGCCCCGCCCCTGCATTGTGATGGTATTCCGTAAGCCAGCATTACGTTCCGTAAAATCCCAAACTCGACCATCTTGACCATCGTCTTGATGGCAAACAGCACAACTAATATACCCTTCACCACTTAATCTTGGATCTTGGGCATTGTAAAAGAGTTTCTTACCTCTTAGTACCGTAGGGCTTAGCGTTTCTTTGCCAATGGTGCCAACCGACAGCAACAACGGCGCACCAATTGATGTTCCAGATAACAAACCTGAATGCCAAATTCCTTCAATCCTCCCTTTTCTGCAGTATTTCTGTTCTTTTCACAGGGAATGTCAGCTTTTTGCATGGAAGAACATGCTTGTGGTGATCTTGAAGAGCTTGACTGCATTAAATATGCAGT